CTATAACTTTCAAGGAGATGTAAATATGTTTCAAGGAGATGCAAAAAAAGAAAAAAAATCATAAATATGTTTTATATTATTTTTCTTCACAATTTTCTGTTTGAATATGTGTGTTTTTATTATATTGGCGCCGAACGATTTATATATACATATAAACGATGGTTTGATTAGAAAGGAGATGTAGCTCAACGGTTATATTTCGGGTTATCATCTAAGAATATGGGGTTCGATTCCCTGCATCTCGTACATAATTTTTTATCCATTTATTTATTTAATTTGAAGGGAGTCATTTGAGAAAAAATATAATATTGTATTGAACATATTCTTCCAAGCAATCTGAGATATCATGAATATTTATATAATATATGGATTAGTTTCATGAACACATGCTACAAGGTGATACGATTAGTAAAGAAGTCAATGTAAAATTACTATTTCCTTTTTCAAGATATATGTATTTTGAATCCATAAATCTATATCCTTTTTTATAATAAAACTATGTTTATTTTTCCGTACATTAAAATTTTTATCGGCTTATAATTTATTTGTACCTACAAATTCAAAAAAAAAAAAATTATGACTTTAAGAAAGATTAAAGTGAACCGACAATTTAAAAGCCATCTCTTGTCACTAGCAAAAAAACAAAAAAATTTAAAAATCATAAATATGTTTTTAAAGTTTTTTTCTTCACAATTTTCGGTTTGAATATGTGTGTTTTTATCATGTTGGTGCCGATAGATTTATATATATATAAACGATGGTTTGAACAAAAATGAGATGTAGTTCAACGGTTATATTTCAATTAAACTTCTAAGAAACGGCATCTCCATAAATAATTTTTTATCCATTTATTTATTTATTTTATTGATTTGAAGGGAGTCAGTTGACAAAAAATATCATATTTTATTGAACATATTCTTCCAAGCAATCTGTGATATTATGAATATCTATATAATATATTGATTAGTTTTATGAATACGTATTACAATGTGATACAATTAGTAAGGAACTGAAGATAATTGAAAAATTATTATTACCTTTTTCAAGATATGTGTATTTTGAATCCATAAATCTATTACCTTTTTTATTATAAAACTATGTTTATTTTTATGTACATTAAACTTTTTATCGGCTTATAATTCTTTTTTACCTACAAATAAAAAAAAAACTATAACTTTAAAGTGCACTGTAAATTTCAAAGCCATCACTTGTCACTTGCAAAACAAAAATCAAAAATATGTTTTAATATTATTTTTCATCACAATTATATGTATGAATATGTGTGCCTTCATTATATTGGTGCCGATCGATTTATATTTACATATAAACGATGGTTTGAACAAAAATGAGATGTAGCTCAACGGTTCTATTTTGGGTTATCATCTAAGAAATACGATTTTCGATTCCCCGCATCTCCATACATAATTTTTTATCCATTTATTTATTTATTTATTTTATTAATTTGAAGGGAGTCATTTGACAAAAAATATAATATTTTATTGAACATATTCTTCCAAGCAATCTGTGATATCATGAATATCTATATAATATGTTAATTAGTTTTATGAATACATATTACAAGATGATACGACTAGTAAGGAACTGAAGATAATTGAAAAATTATTATTACCTTTTCCAAGATATGTGTATTTTCAATCCGTAAATCTATAACCTTTTTTATTAAAAAAAACTATAACTTTGAAGTGCACCGAATATTTCAAAGCCATCTCTTGTCACTTGCAAAAAAAAAAAAATCATAAATATATTTAATATTATTTTTCTACACAAATTTCCGTTTGAATACGTGTGTTTTTATTATATTGGCGCCTAACGATTTATATATACATATAAACGATGGTTTGAACAAAAAGGAGATGTAGCTCAACGGTTCTATTTCGGGTTATCATCTAAGAAATACGGGGTTCGATTCCCCGCATCTCCATACATAATTTTTTATCCATTTATTTATTTAATTTGAAAGGAGTCATTTGAGAAAAAATATAATATTGTATTGAAAAAAAGCGAATTTTCGTTTAAAAAACTTCTTACCGGTTTCCGGTTGGATCTTACCGGTTTCCGATCATAGCTGTACCGGTTTCCGGTCGGGAATCTTCTTCTTTTGGAAGGTTTTGGCTAATTACCGGTATCCGGTTACCTTTGCTAAATTCCTACCATCCTCATTGATCTATGTCCTCTAACCCTTTCTTCTTCCCTCTTTCTTCTCCCTGTTTCTATTGAATCTGTACTATCTATTACCATTATGCAAGAAGACCTATCTGATAGATTTCAAAGCTTCTCCCTCTCCCAAAAGGAGGATAATATCATTCCCCTTGACACCTCCGACATACACCTTAGCGCCGATGAATGCCGAAAGTGTTTATTTGGGAAAATTGTTGGTGATAGAAAGGCCCATCTCTTTAGGCTCAAAAAAACAATGTCACAGGTGTGGCAGCTCAAAAGTGCACTCACAGTCGGAAAATTGAGCCGAACTTCTTTCAATTCCTTTTTGACTCAGAAGCAGAGAAGACCAGAGTCCAAGCCGGGAAGAACTGGTCCTTTGAAAATCAATACATCCTCCTCAAAGAGTGGCAGGAAGACCTTACAGCAAACCATGAATGCTTTCAGGAAATGGACATCTGGGTGCAGGTAGGCAATATCCCCCTTAACTGGCTCTGTACAGATGTTGGACTAAAGATTGGGAAAGCTTTCAAGTCGGTGAAATATGTCAATATTAGCTCAGGACCTGGTAATTGTGGGAGATATCTCCGACTTCTAGTCACCATTGATCTAAAAGAACCTTTGATGAGATGTACCTGCATTCAGTTGGGAGACAAAATTCGGAGAATTGAGTTCAAATATGAAAAATTAATTAACCTGTGCTATTACTGTGGTAGAATTGGGCACCTTGACCGAAGTTGCAGCTATAAAATGGATGATATTATTAAAGGCACTCCCACTGAAGGGCAATATGGCGACTGGCTCAAAGCTAGTGTAGGTCTTTCTCCATCATCACCCAGGACAAGTCTATCCTCTGAACCCATGCCTGCACCACAAAATACCAATAATCCTCAAAGGAACACTTCTGCCGAGAATACCCAGGAAGCTGGTACCAGCAATTCTACTGCACCCTCACTGGAAAAAATAGACTCTTCCAATAAAATCCTAACTGTGCATACTCCAAAGGCCCCATCTGAAGCAACACAAGCCAGTAACCAAATACCTCCTCCATGCAACATTCTCATGCTTGAATTCTCAAATAAAAGTCCACCACCAGTCAATGAGCAGATTATGGATTTCTCTATGGCAGCAACTCAGCAGCAACCAACCATTACTCCAGAGAACACTACCATCAAGGGTCAGAAAAGGACATGGACTAGAAGGCAGGCCAAGTTAGCAGGTGCTAGTCCCTTTATGGGCCCTCCTAAAGCTGAAATTCAAGAGAGAAGCAAAAGAGTCAGACAAGAGGAAGCTGTAAATCCAAACCCCAAGGGCACCACAGACAATGAAGACAGTCTCAAGAAAAAGCAAAAGTGTTCCGTTGATAAGGTGGAGGAAGCCAGCCTCGAGTGGCCCCGAGGTGATAAATGACAGCTCTGGTGTGGAACTGTAGAGGTCTGGGTGGACCCTCTACAGTTCCCCAGCTCAAGGAATCTTGGAGATTCCACTGCCCCAATTTTGCTTTTCTATGCGAAACCAGAAAATCTAAAAAATTCATTTCTACTGTATGCAATAACCTAGGAGTAGAAGATAGATGGGTAGTTTCTGACCCTATTAACAAGGGAGGAGGTTTACTAGTATTTTGGAATATGGAAGTTGACATCCATCAAATCTTCTGTCAACCTTTTTGTATAGAAATAGAGTTCAGTCTGAAGGCCAATACTCACAGGTCCTGGTTTGCTTTTGTCTATCTCAGTCCCTGCAGAGCTACCAGGTATGACCAGTGGCAATACCTCTGCCAAGCAAAGACTAAATGGGGTAACAGTTGGGTGATAGCCGGGGATTGGAATGACATTCTATGTCAAGGTGAAAAGAATGGAGGCAGACTTAGACCTGAAGCTAGTTTTTGGGGTTTTAGAACTTGTTTGGCCAACATAGGAGGACATGAAATCTACATGGAAGGCTATCCCTTCACCTGGGGGAACAATAGACTTGCAGAGGGGTATATTGAGGAAAAACTTGACAGAATGGTGGCCTCGCTGAATTGGCATGCCTCATATCCAGATGCTAGAGTCCTCAATGTCTTCAGAAGTGCCTCTGATCACAATCTTCTGTTTCTCCATACTGGCATTACTCAGAACCGCAGGAAAAAGGCCTTCTGTTTTGATAAGAGATGGTTGAAGCAGCCAGGAATCAAAGAGGAAATTCAAAATGTTTGGGCCCAACCTGTTACTGGCTCAGCCATGTTCACCCTTTCAGAGAAAATTAAAGCCACCCGAGTGACCCTGCTGAAATGGAGTAGAACTCTCCAAACTAACTCGGCCAAAACTATAAAAAATTGAATGCAGAAATGTCTGGCTTAAGAGAGCAAGGTGGTGCTAGGAATTGGGATAGATGGAAAGCCTTAAAACAGCAGCTTGATGATGCCTATAAAGCTGAAGAAGTCTTCTGGAAACAGAAGTCTCGTGCACAATGGCTCAAGGAGGGTGATAAAAATACAAAATTCTTCCATGCCTACACCCTCCAAAGAAGAAAGCTTAACTCCATTACCCGACTAACCAAACCAGACAACACAACCTGTGATACCAGAGAGGAAATTGAGGCCTGCCTATCAGAATTCTACCAGAACTTATTGACCTCTGAAGGCTCTGTGGATATTGGCCACCTGCTCAGCTACATTCTCACATCCATCACAGCTGACCAGAACCACTCTCTTCTGACACAGGTGACTGAAGAGGAAATAAAGGCAGCACTTTTCAGCATGCATCCTGACAAAGCCCCTGGCTGGGATGGTATGACTCCCTCATTTTTTCAATCTTTCTGGCCCATCATAAAATCTGATTTGTGCAAAGCTGTACTCTCATTCTTCACTTCTGGCTATTTACTAAAAAATTGGAACCACACCTTATTAACTCTTGTCCCAAAATGTCAAGCTCCAATCACTGTGGGGGATTTTAGACCTATAAGTCTTTGTGAGGTTATTTACAAAGTAATATCCAAGATCCTTGCAGATAGATTAAAGCCCTGCCTCCCCCTGTGCATTAGTAATACTCAATCAGCTTTTATTCCTGATAGAAATCTTATGGATAATGTGATCATTGCGCATGAGGTCTTTCATTTCCTAAACAGACACAGATCAGGACCTACTAAATATATGGCTCTAAAACTTGATATGTCCAAAGCATTTGACAGAATTGAATGGGCAAGCATCAGGAAAATAATGCACAAAATGGGCTTCCATCTGAACTTTATTAACTGGATTATGGCATGTGTTCAGTCTGCTACTTTCTCCTTCAAAGTTAATGGCTCTTCTGCTGGGTATGTGGTGCCTTCTAGAGGAATAAGGCAGGGGGGACCCCATTTCCCCTTACCTTTTCCTTCTAGTCTCTGAATGCTTGTCTTGCCTTATCCAGCATGAGATGTCTACTAGTGCCTACAAGGGACTGAGAATCTCAAGAACAGGCCCTATACTCAGCCACTTATTCTTTGCTGATGACTCACTTCTATTTTGCCAAGCTTGTGCAGACTCTGCTCATCTTATAATGGCTATGTTGGAGAAATATAAATGCTTCACAGGTCAGACAGTTAACTTGATGAAATCCTCAGTGTTCTTTAGCAAAAATACTCCAACTTCTGTCCAGAATGCTATCTGCCACATCCTCTAGGGGATCACTCTGCAGCATTTCTCTAGATACCTGGGATTGCCACTTGGCATTGGCAGATCAAAGGGTGAAACCTTTCACTATGTTGTTGATGCTGTAAAGAGTAGACTACTGAGCTGGAAAAACAAATTCTTATCAGGTGCTGGCAAAGAAGTTCTCATTAACTCTTTCCTCAGTGCTCTGCCGGTATACACAATGTCATGCTTCATGCTTCCCATGGGAACTTGTAAAGAATTATCCCAGCTCTTTGCAAACTTTTGGTGGTGCTCACAAAATAGAACAAACTCCGGGATCCACTGGAAGGCCTGGAAGCTGTTGACCCTCCCCAAAGCTGCTGGTGGACTGAACTTCCATGACCTTCATATCTTCAATGAAGCCGTTATTTTGAAGCAAATTTGGAGACTCATCACCAAGCCAGGCCTGCTAATGTCAAGGGTCCTTAGACACAGATACTTCCCAAATGGAGACTTCTTTGGAGCTAAACCTACTCAGAGTGCATCATGGTTATGAAGAACATGGCTCAAGCTGCAAAAAACCTTTCTACAAGGGTTTATGATGAAAGTCAGCAATGGCAGAAAAACTAAAATTTGGGAGCACCCATGGGTCCCTGAACTCACAACCAGCAAACTCTTGGTAAAAACCACCACATCACCCAATCTGACATGGGTATCTGAATTAATTGCTGCAGATGGCATTTCTTGGAACACAACCCTAATCAGAAACAGTTTCCCCCATCATGAAAGTGAATCCATCCTCAAAATCAAATCCTTGAGTAACCATCACCCTGACAAACCTATCTGGTCTTTTAATGCTAAAAAAGTCTTCACAGTTGCTGGCACTTATGCTGAATTGATTTCTGCTAAAATTCTCAAGCTTGACATTCCTGAAAGCAGTGCCAATGTTGCCATGTTGAGGAAAATGAGAATCAGAAGCTGGAAGTTAAAGATCAAAGGAAAAGTAAAACATTTCATCTGGAAATGCTTTACTGGTGTACTACCTGCTGCCATAAACCTGAGAAGGAGGGGTATTCAAATTGACACCACCTGCTCCATCTGTGGGGAGGAACCTGAGACAGCAGAGCACATCCTCTTTCACTGCTCCCGAGCTGACAGAGTTTGGCAAATATCCCCTGTCCAATGGAAAGGTCCTGCACAGCCTCATGATCACTTCAAGTATTGGTGGGCTCATCTTTGTACACTTCCAGTCACTAAATCCGTTGATGACAGGATCCAACTCTCAACATATATTTTGTGGCAACTGTGGAAGACTAGGAACCTTTGGGTTTTTCAAAATATCATGACCCCAGAACACATCATTATGGAGACTGCAATAAAAGAATGGCAAGAGTTTAACTCCCTGCCGGCTTAACTCTTCCTCATCTCCTTTCTTCCTCCTTAGTTCCTTTCTTCTTTTTCTAGCTAGGCAATTGCAGTGGCTAGTTTTGTCTATTTTAGTAGTTTGTGATATTGTATTCTTGTTTATTGTTTGTACTGGCAAGTAGCAGGTCTCTACAAGCTCTGCGGCTGCTACTTGCACCCTTAGCTTTTCTTTGTTTGTCTAGGCAGCTTTTGGCTTGCCTCTAATCCTTGTGGATTGTGGTCCACTATGGATCCCGTGTATGTTGGAACATTATCTATCTATGAGATTACTTATTGTCGTTTCGAAAAAAAAAAAATCTGAGATATCATGAATATTTATATAATATATGGATTAGTTTTATGAACACATGCTACAAGGTGATACAATTAGTAAAGAAGTCAATGAAAAATTATTATTACCTTTTTCAAGATATATGTACTTTGAATCCATAAATCTATAACATTTTTTATTATAAAACTATTTTTATTTTTATGTACATTAATATTTTTATCGGCTTATAATTCATTTGTATCTACAAATTCAAAAAAAAAAAAAATTATGACTTTGAGAAATAATAAAGTGCACCGACAATTTTAAAGCCATCTCTTGTCACTTTCAAGAAAACAAAAACAAAAAAATTAAAAATCATAAATATGTTTTAAAGTATTTTTCTTCACAATTTTCGGTTAGAATTTGTGTGTTTTTATCATGTTGGCGCAGAATGATTTATATATACATATACACGATGGTTTGAGCAAAAAGGAGATATAACTCAATGGTTATATTTCATTTAATCTTCTAAGTAATACGGGGTTCGATTCCTTGCATCTCCATGCATAAATTTTTATCCATTTATTTATTTATTTATTAATTTGAAGGGAGTCATTTGAAAGAAATATCATATTTTATTGAATATATTCTTCCAAGCAATCTTTGATATCATGAATATGTATATAATATATTGATTAGTTTTATAAATACGTATTACAAAGTGATACGATTAGTAATGAACTGAAGATAATTGAAAAGTTATTATTACCTTTTTCAAGATATATGTATTTTGAATCCATAAATTTATAACCTTTTTTTTTATTATAAAACTATGTTTTTTCATGTAGATTAAAATTTTTATCGGCTTACAATTCATTTGTACCTACAAATTAACAAAAAAAAAGAAAAAAAAAAACTATAACTTTGAAGTGCACCGAAAATTTCAAAGCCATCTCTTGTCACTTGCAAAAAAAAAAAAATCTTAAATATGTTTTAATATTATTTTTCTTCACAATTTTCTGTTTGAATATGTGTGTCTTTATTATATTGGCGCCGAACGATTTATATATACATGTAAACGATGGTTTGACAAAACGGAGATGAAGCAAAACGGTTATATTTTGGGTTATCATCAAGTAAATACGGGGTTCGATTCCCCGCATCTCCATATATAATTTTTTATCCATTTATTTATTTAATTTGAAGGGAGTCATTTGACAAAAAATATAATATTGTATTAAACAAATTCTTCCAAACAATCTGAGATATCATGAATATTTTTATAATATATGGATTAGTTTCATGAACATATGCTACAAGGTGATACGATTAGTAAAAAAGTCAATGAAAAATTACTATTTCCTTTTTCCAGATATATGTATTTTGAATGCATAAATCTATATCCTTTTTTATAATAAAACTATGTTCATTTTTCTGTACATTAAAATTTTTATCGGCTTATAATTTATTTGTACCTACAAATTCAAAAAAAAAAATAAAAAATTATGACTTTAAGAAATATTAAAGTGAACCGATAATTTAAAAGCCATCTCTTGTCACTAGCAAAAAAACAAAAAAAGTTAAAAATCATAAATGTGTTTTTAAAGTGTTTTTCTTCACAATTTTCGGTTTGAATATGTGTGTTTTTATTATGTTGGTGCCGAACGATTTATATATATATATAAACGATGGTTTGAACAAAAAGGAGATGTAGCTCAACGGTTATATTTCAGTTAAACTTCTAAGAAATACGGGGTTCGATTCCCCGCATCTCCGTAAATAATTTTTTATCCATTTGTTTATTTATTTTATTAATTTGAAGGGAGTCATTTGAAAATAAATATCATATTTTATTGAACATATTCTTTCAAGCAATCTGTGATTCATGAATATCTATATAATATATTGATTAGTTTTATGAAGACGTATTACAAGCTGATACGAGTAGTAAGGAACTGAAGATAATTGAAAAATTAATATTACCTTTTTCAAGATATGTGTATTTT